CACCAAGGCCCCGGGTTCGGATCCCATATAGGGATGGCCGGTTAGCTCACTGGCTGAGCATGGTGCTGACAACACCGAGTCGAGGGTTAAGATCCCCTTACCAGCCATCTTTTTTTAAAAAAAAAAAAAGATAACTTCAATGCTGTAAAATCCTGGGAAGCTATTTTAAAAGGTTAACTAGTTGCTGAAAACTAGTTAGGACCAGTGAAATATAATCAGCAAGCTGGCCTGAATATTAGCTATTCTCACATGAGACTTAAGACCCAAGCAGATGCTCAGGGCAAGGAACAGCCTCACAATTCTGCAGATGCTGGACAGAAGAGAACCTCCCTGGGCCCGGCCACAGCCCCTTTGGTTCTGTGCCCACAGGTGCTTCCTGTTTCCTACAAGGCCTAAGTGCGAAATCTGGGAAAGGCTGTGGATCGCATGTCGTGTGCCCACACAAAAGCAGGACAACAGGCCTATCACACACACAAGCCAGGCATCAGGACAAAGTGCATCTCAGAAAACACTGTACATGGACCATTAAGGGCTCTCACTGAGATTACTTGTGAAATGGGATGTCTACATCTCAATAGACTCCCACAAAACAAGAACTTCAGTACCAAGCTTCATTCAATTCTTGACATTTTAGAGCCAAAAAATGCCCCTGGAACGGCTTTAGGTAGAAGGGAAAAATAAAAGGAACATGGAGGGTCCCAACCTTTCCAGGTGGAGGGACCAATTTTTATTTCCTCAAAGTTTTCAGATAGGAAAAGGCACGAGGTGGGGCTGGGGGGTGGTAGGGACTATAGCTACAGGTAGAAAATAAGTCCTCAAGTGATCTGTGAATGCTGAGGCTTCCAGATCAGCCAGGCCAGGCCCCCTGCCTGCTGAGGATGATTTAAACATTCCCACCACACTCCTCATGTTGAAAACGCGAGGAGAGGAGACAGGCTAGAAACTTTTAAACAGGATGAATCAACCGAAGGAAGGATCCAAAGTTTGCCAGAAAAAAAAGGGAGGATTTCTAATATAAACCCAATAACCTTCAAACTCAAAAGATCTCAAATATTACAAAACAACATAAACTGAGCTGGGCTGCATTTTATCTAGCAATAACATAAAACAGTGCTTAAAGATCGTGATCAAAAAGGATTTAGGTTTTGAAGTCAGTTGCTTAATTTTTATTTTATGTTATATACTGCTAACCTCTGCCAGATTTCACGAGTTACTTTCATTTTTGATCTCCACATTGGTGAAATCAAGAAAGGCATTCTTAAAGGAACAGCTTCTAAAATCTTGCCCTTATGAGCAAAAATTAGTCTCTCTCTATGCAGTGCCTTTTCTCTTGTGTAAGTTCAGCCGTTTTCTTAAAACTCTAGTTCTAAGGAACGCTTTTTAGACTGGTGTTTTTGTTTTTGTAAAACCTAGAAAATAATTAACCAGTTTATTCTTTCCTAAAAACACTTCTTCCTAAAAAGAGAACAGGTCAAAATGCTGCTAAAGATAGTTGAATTTATTTCAAAGAGAGTTCATTCATTTTCTGGGTGGAGTACTTCAGGGCAGGGAAAAAAAAAAAAACAACCCCACATATACACACACACAAAACCCAACCCCCTTCCCCCACCTTCCCCAGGAAACAGAGCAAGCTCGAAGCACAAACAGGAGAAACAGAAAGGAAGGGCTGGTGCTGGGAAGGCAGGGCAGGGCTGCTTATAAACAGGGAGGAGGTTCCCACAGGTAGCAGCACTCCCAGGTCTGGACGAGAGGGGCTGAGGGGAGGAGCTGCAGGGAGGGGCCCCACCCAGCTGAGGTCTCCAGGCCGCAATTCGCCTGGCCAATGGGGAAAGGCGAGGCGAAGACGCACCAAATTAGGAAAGTAAACACAGGAGGAGGGGGCGGGACCCAGGGAGGCGACAGCCCGGCAGGAGGGCCCATCCCTCAGGAATGGCCCCTCTCCTTCCACCTCCTTCTCTCCTCCCAGGGGAGCCGGCAGAGACAGGGAGGGGGCGGGAAGGGAAGGGCAGGGAGTGTTTGTAAACATGTCAGCTCCACCCCTGCGACAGAAACTCAAACTGAAATGTATCTTGGCAGGCAAAACCTCAAAGGCCTCTGAGGTTTTTAAACATTCAATTGAATTCCACAGAGCTAAGATAAACGGATGTAAACGGAGATCCTTTTATTGTAACACTTAATTAAAAGCCAAAAAGTGAGAGAGCCAGTCCCTAAGTTACTACTTTCTCTGCAAATATTCCACCAAATGAATCCAGGACCGGCTCCCCCCGCAACCTCAAAGGAAAGGACTGGGTGGCAGCCACGGGGCGGGGGGACCTAGGCCACTCCCACCGCTCCCAGCTCCAGCTAGAAGAGCAGGTGAGTTACAGCCCAGGACTCGAGCCACACTCATAGGGCCACCTGGCTTGCCGGCAGAGCTGCAGCAACACAAGCTTCTTTTGATTAGAAAAAAATATTTTTTCTTAACTCCTTCACAAACCACTGCCTGCCTTCTAACTTCCAAAAGCAACTTTAATATGCAAAGCTTTATGTGACTATCTTAACCAGTTGGCTACTAGTTTTATTTAAACTATTACTGGGAAGTATTTTATTAAGCCCTGCATGTACCAAAACATTTTTCTTTGTTACACAGTTTCTATTTATCTGGATTATAAACTGGTTATTAATAACCCATGCCAGGCGAAGGCTGAGATGTTAGCCTATCCCTTACACACAGCCCCTTTGTGACTGCTTGGTTTGGTTTTCGCTGCCCACTGTGAACACAGCAGAGGACAAACCTCTTACCAGTCTGAGTTCTTAACAGTACAGCAAATGGTCGTGGCTGTCATTTCAACAGCTGCTTTAAGGTGGCATTGGATAAATATTTAAGTACATATAAGGTTTTTACAGCTTTATTGAGATACAATTCACACACCACACACCCATTTAGAGTGTACAATTCAGTGGTTTTTGGTGTATTCACAAAGTTATGTAACCATCATCACTATATCATTCCAGAACGTTCTCCCATAAAGCTGTAAGGACTTAATAAAACAATGCGGGTACAGTGCTAAGCACAGGGCCAGGCACATATTAGGTTTTCATAAGTAGTTACTCATCATCACCATCACAGATAATTATGAAACTAGAGTGCTGGCTTTATAGATGGGGAAAACAAGGCCCAGGAGGCTCAAGTGACCTGCCCAAGGCCACACGACTGACCACAGACAGGGCCAGAACCAAATTCAGGTTCTAGACTTGAGCTCCAGGCCTTGCCACTTGCCAGTGCTGTCCCTGAACTTTTCTCCCCATAAGAGAAAGAGTAATTCACTCGCTGGCTTTGGTAAAAAGGAAACTGATTCCAAGCAACTGAAATGCAAACGACTCCCGACTGGTAACTAAAATTCCATGGCAGAAAAATGAAAAGCATAAGTGAAACACTGACTGTGACAAAACTGGGTAGAGAAATTTGACTCTCCTGTGGTTATACACGAACAATACATGAATCTGAACGTGAATCCAACAAGTGGGGACTGCCAGAGTGTGGCTGGTTAGCAAGAGAAGGGACTGTGCTCTAGGCCAGCAGTGGATTTCAGAGTGAGGTTCACTCTGAGACCCTCTCAGCTGGTAGGTGAGGTCAACATAATTTTCACAGCAATACCAAGGCCCAGTTTGCCTTTTCCACTGGGTTGACCTTTGCTGACACCACGAAGAGATGGTGGTAGCCGCTGGTGCCCAGGCAGAAAACATGGCATCTGCACCAAACCACACGTGGCCGCTGTATCTTCAGGGCCACACATGCAGTTGAGAGAGAGAAGCCAGTTCCATTTTTAAATGTCTGTGATGAAGCAGTAACACATTTAAAAATGTACTGAAGCTTGACCCTCAAGTGCCTGTTTCCATTTTTAAATGTCTGTGATGAAGCAGTAACACATTTAAAAATGTACTGAAGCTTGACCTTCAAGTGCCATTTAAAAATGTACTGAAGCTTGACCCTCAAGTGCCTGTCTTTTTAGCATCCTGTAGGACGAGATGGGGAGCATGCATAGCACCTGTGCTGTTCACTGAAGCAAGACTGTCATCACTAGGAGCCCTTGTGCTGTTGAGCTGAGGGCTCAACATGGAGCTCTATTTACACTTTTTACCCTGAAACCTTCCCCTAGGGGATGACCTTTGCATAATACACCAAGGATGAGAAAGTTTGAGGACTTTCCTTTCTTCAAAATCTAAATTAATTTCTAAAACTTCACAGAGAATTTCTACAAATAAATTTCAGAAAAACAAAGTTTACCATGTCCTGGAATACAAATATTACCTTTTAAAAAAAAAAATTACTTTTAAACATTTTTAGAATCTTAAAAGAAAAATCATACCCATGCTTGCTTTAACAGGCAAGCATGGGTATGATTT